GTGTAGCTGTGTGCAAGACATCCGAAGGAAGTGCCTGTGTAGCACTTGTTCACTATTGTAACTGTGTGTGAAAAATAGTGAATTTCTCCTAGAAGTGAAAGGAGAAAAGTGGACTAGGAAGATTAAGCCACTTCCGAACCACTATAAATTGCCTCTCTCATTTACATACCGCACTTACATTATTTGCTATATCTATCTATCTCATCCGACTAACCCGTTTACTATTCACAGTTAATCTTAATCATCCGGGTTTAGTGTGTTCTCATGTATGCATGTGACTCAAACTTCTCGAGCTTAAATACTAATTTATTCTAAGCAAGTTTGACGTGCTGCATGTAACATTCGTCACACGGACGACGTGACACGATATTTATTTACAATCTTGAATATTGTTATTATATATTGAGTGCACCATCTCCTTTACATATTCAAGATATCTCTGTCACTTTACATATCATTTGTTCCTAACTTATTTATACCTGCACACTTAATTTACTAGTTGGGCATAACTCTTTACTGTTATTCCGCTGTGCAGTACAAACTTGCTCTATTTACTTGTTACTTAGAGTTGAAGTTACCAAAGAGTTATTTAATTTGAAAAAGCTTGAAAGTCTATTCACCCCCCCCCCCCCCCCTCTAGACTTTCACCACCCTATCGGGACCAACACTAACATTCTCATGTTATCAACTACTAATCATGCAATCTCGTGCAAGACATATAACTCATAAGCAATCTCATGTTGTCAACTACTAATCATGCAATCTCGTGCAAGACATATAACTCATAAGCAATCTCATGCTATCAACTACTAATCATGCAATCTCGTGCAAGCATATAACTCATAAGCAATCTCATGCTATCAAATACTAATCATGCAATCTCGTGCAATCATATACTTAACATGCAATCTCGTGCACTTAACTTAATCATGCAATAAAATGAACATGATGCTTTAGTATAAGTATAGATAGATATACATATATAACCCTCTTTTTTAAAAAGAATACTTTTTCTGTGGAGGTTTCTTAGAGTCACAATGACTCACTTTGCTCTTCTTTTCTTAGAGTCTCAATGACTCGCTTTCTTTAGAGTCGCAATGACTCGCTTTCTTAGAGTCGTAATGACTCGCTTTCTTTACTAATGGGTGAGGTAGGAACTTCACCATAGCGTGAATGGACCTATCCGGGCTCGGCGTCTAGCCGGCCTAATACTCATCTCGCCCACAGAACCACTCTCTTGGTTCTTTTTCTCAAACTCCGTGGAATCAGGTATCGAACTATTAGTGTGCACACCCCCTGACCAGGATTCCAAGCCTGGTGGGCAGTGTCCAACCTAGTAACTCGGGAATATCGACCTCGTTACTTCATATCGGATCGCAATGTCCGTTTCCTTCTCAACTTTCTTTCTTTCTCTTTTCTTCCGAGAGGACATAGTCCTAACGGGCCTCCAAAACCACGGATTACTCACACTAGATACATATAGATATAACTCATGCAATTCAAACCATGCAATGCTTTACTTATACACTTATGCACATAACTTCTCAACAAATTCTCAGTACAACAAGATAATGACTTCCCGAAATAGATATGTATTTTTGGAAAATAATACTTAGGCTCACGCTGGCCACTTATGCATTTTTAAAACACGGTATGCTCAAACATGCACTTCACTATACAATATACTTTCAAACTTCCTTCACTGTGAACTTTCAACAATTATGTAAACATGCTTGTAAATCATAACTTAGCAAATCTTCTTTGACAAACACTTAGGAAGTATTCAACATGCACTTGAACTCAAAATACTCAATGTAATCTCATTTACTGTAATCTAGCATGGAAGGAAAACATGTTCTGTGCACTTCATCATTTAATAAGCTTGGCAAGATTCTCAATAAATCACAATAGGCATTTTAGGCATGCTTTTCAAGCAAAACTTAATAAATAGAGTTCATGCTTCTTAATCTAACAATAAAATATTATCAAGCTCTTCAAACAAATAAACTATGTCTGATGCTTCTCATTTCCATTCATAGTAAATGAACTCAAACACTTCTGCAACATATTTCTTCACAAAATATAACACAAAAAGCTCAATTCTACTCCAAAATCGATGAAATCAAAGTCGAAACGTGCGTCATGACGGCCCCGATTGTCCGAGCCACAATGGCCCGCGAGTTACGATCCGAAATGACACGTAGCTGCCCAACCACTGCACAACTGAAGCTTGGCGGAGCACTCGACGGAACTAGGACCGCCCTTTCACGGGGCTAGCCAACGGCTCCCTCCTAGGGCCGTTGGCTAGGCCCGTGAACAATCTGGTGCACACTGTCTTGTGCACCAGATGATCTTCTTCCACCTGTAGAATTTATTTCAGATAATCCAACACTTCCAAAACCTCAACAACACATCATAGATCAACAATAGATCACTTAATAACTCAAACACCTCAATAATCTAGCATTTCTACCACAAAATAGACTTCACAGAGTCTAAGAAAATAGATTTGGGAGTCCATGGGTTATACCTTTGCAGATTTCTTCTCTTGGCTGGGATTCCACCTTCTTCCCAAGCTAGCTACACCCTCCTTCACCTCCTAAACATCTCAAACAAACCATACAACAACTTACTACCAAGTTCTCAGAGAAAGAAGCTAGAAGGAATAAGATTAGAAGGGAGAAAGATGAATGGATGGAAATGGATGTTGGAAACCTTACTGTGATTCTTCTTTGTTTTGTAGAGCTCAAGGTTGGGAAGCCAAGAATGGAATCGGGAGAGGATGAAAAAGTCTACTATTCTTTTTATATGGGTTCAAAACCGTGGGAGGATCTCCCATGATTGGTGGATGGCAAAAGGGTAAAATGACTTGGCTAAAAGATGGATTCAGACAAAGGTTTTTGGATGGCTTGTGGTCCACCATGCTTCATGAATCAAGGGCTAGAATTGATATTTAAAGTAGTTTGGGGCTGAAAAGGAATTTCCCAAAAAAAATTTCTAGATAAACACTTAATTTAGGCTTCTCAGTTTTCTCCCGGTTTCACTCAGATAGGTTTCTCAGTTCAAAACTTGGTACGCGAAGTACCCGGAAATTTAGAATTTTGAAATGAAAACTTCTCGGTGTTGAATTTATTTAAAAGTCACTTAAAATAATTTATTCAAACACCGTTCTTGTCGCAAAATTTTGTAGGAGTGAAAATTGGCTATTTTGAATTTCTTTAAAACGGGATTTATAAAATCAAATTTTGGGTTGTCACACCTGGCCTTTTACCTAAACAGGCCAGGCCAAGCTAGGACTACAATCATTATTGTTTGGACCGTGGTCCACAAAACGTTGTGGCCCATGGTTCAAAAAAGACATCGTTTCAATATTAGAGGAGACAACGTTGTTAGGTCGCTCAATATCTTTCTTTTTTTTTTTTGACACGACCTGCATTTTCCTCTCTACTGCCGCAACATACATTTTTATCTTATAAAATACATTATCTTACCTAGAAAGTTTATTATTCTAACACATAAAGTACATTATTCTAACAATGGTGGTCCTCTTGAAAGGACCATGATTGGTTAAAATTTAATAGTTGAAGGACCATAGGTGGTTAACTTGAACCACAAATGGTTAAATTTGAAAGTCGAGTAACCACAGATGGTCAATTTGAAAGTTTAGAACTAAACGTGACAAAACCACTATACTCGAAAGACCTGAGATGGTATTAACTCTTTTACCATATGATAAAATTGTAGTTTTATCATCATCAATTCGTAATTAAAGTAAATTAACTAATCATTTCTCCATCTAAGTAAGTCTCAACTGTTTTATATATTTTTGTAGCCAAGTGAAATTGTCCAGATAATCTAACCTTTCACTGTTTTGTTTCTCCAATCCTTGGCCACAGAAGCTCTTTGAGCTTTGGAATATGCAGAGTTTTATTTTATTGTTAGTGGGTATGGTTTTACATTGGATTCCTCTGAAGCATGCAGAATTTAGAAAATGCCATTATTAATGAATTTTTACATTGGACGAATTTTTTAATTAGAAACCATGCACTACTACAAATAATGCTTTTAAAATCGGTTTTTTTTTGGCACTTTTAACGTCGCTTTCTGTCAACGTCATTGCCGCAGACGTTGTAAGTAAACGATATGACGTCAATTAAAAAAATCAACGTCATTTTTTTTAATTTTATAATTAACATACAACGTCGATTTTTTACAAAAAATCAACGTTGTACCTTATTTTTTAAAAAAAGCACATTAAACGTCGTTTGTTTCAAACAACCAACATTTTAAGTCATTATTTTAAAAAAATTGGAGATAAGAAAAAAAAAACCCATCTAAGTAATTAAAAAGAAAAAGGGAAAACATTCAATCTAAATTTTTTTTTGCAGGTAGACCATATAATTCTTCATGTATGCTAAAGCCTTTCTATAAGTACACATATAGACAAAAAATGCAAAATGCAAACTTCCACTGCCCATCCACATAGAGCAATTAGAATCCAGATCAATGATAGTGTTTTAGAAGCCTAAACCGCAAACAACACTATTGTGCATCGTTGCTATCACAAAAAATTTATCTAGTACAACATTGCCATTGCAAACTAATGCTGCAAAGAGTAAATGCAATCGAAATATCAAACATTGGAGAATTCTTCTTCGGGAACCTGCAATTTCTTTTGAATGCGGACTTTAATTTCTGCTAAAGTTTCACCTTCATGCATGGATAACCAAAAAGAAGGGTTCCCCAAATTAAAGTTTTGAACTTGCTGTTGTGAAAAACAATGCAAATGGAAAATACATGTCAAATTTTGAATTGGAAAGTAATTACTTCATCTCATATGCATGCGCAGCATACAAATACATCATATGTGAATGTAGGAGAATATACTTCACTGAGGTTCTGAAAGTTTCTCCTCATTCTTTTTTTTTTTTGGAAAAAAGAGGCACAAAGTGAGAGCAAAAATGGAACAATGCTTTACTACTTCCTCTCAAAGAAAGATAGTGTAGTGAAACAAGAAAAGGGAAAAAATCCAATTGATAACCAGAAAGTTGGTGCTAGTAAAACACAATAAAGTACTGGTACCTTTGTTTTTATTTCATTAAGCACGTCTCCAACAGTACTCTATTTGGGCAACCTAACATTGATAATTACCACCTGACAACAACACATAAGATACAATAAGACACTACAGAAATGGTTAAGTTAAAAATTACCAATAATCAATAAATCATTTTGGATTCACCTCATCCTTTGTGGCCTGATGAAATGCAACTTTTAGTGTCTTGAGACACTGCAGCTCTAGCAGAGGAATGTCAAGAACTTCATAATACAATATATCAGAAATCTATCAAAGAAAGCAATGAATGGTTAGTGCACCTGCATAATTTTTTCCATAGTAGCAATACCGAACTATCACGATTCATGCCCTCATTTCCTTCTCTTAAAGTCAAATTGAACTCACCTGATTGTAGTGGATAAACATGTCCACCAAATGATCAACAGATCGATATTTGATGGGATTAGGCTTCGGTTACGTTGCTGGGAATAGCAATTGTGAGGAGTAAGCCTAATCTTGGATGGATCATCCAATCCAAGGTGCTGAGCCACTCTATCCACAACATCATCATATGGGTGATTCTTTGCTCTGGAAATATGGCAATGCCAAAGGTCAAGAAACATATCAAAAAACAAATGAAATACATCACTGCCAATCTAAGCATAAAGATTCAATAAACTCACAGCTCCAAACAAAAATCATCCTCCATGGGTCTTTCCAGCATACCAAAAAAGGAACATATATAAAATTAAATCAAAATTAGTCGCATCAACAGCTTTACCATTGAAATGGATGTATATGTGCTCCTTTAAGAAATTTTATTACTTCTTTTGGAAACTCAAATTTATAACCACTAGCAATGCATTTGCATATACACTAAAGTGTCTCCGAGTTCCAAAAACATCATGAATCATATTAGTTGAGTATACTTTTTTTAAAGAAAGAAAACATATAGCGAAAATTCACAACTAGTTAATCAAATACCAAAAATGAAGATTTACCTAGCGATTTTTAACAAAAGCAGGGACATCTTCAATCTGTCAGAACTCCAGAATTAAAAACAAATAATCTAGCATCAAAATTGAAAATTAACTTCAGGTTCAATATCCAAGGGCAAAGAAAGACAAAAACCATCCACTGCGCACACAAAAAAAAATCATTTACCAATAGATAATACTCTAATATATAAACTAAGGCTCAAACTTATCACCTTCCACATAGGGGAGCAACATGGTGTCATTAGACTACAAGGTCCTTAGTATTATATCATTTTTTTAACCTATTATATTATATTGTTTATTTTATATCATTAGAAATACTAAATTAAACTCACAAAAAGCATTCTATATATATAAACTAAATGTTTAAATATTATTGCTATTATATAAACCAAAAGAGTTGTATTATTTTTAGTGTCAATTAATATAATTGTCATAAGTTACAAATGTATGTTTGTTTGGGATTTTGGACTGTAGCGTCGACCAACGAATTCCTGTTTACATTGGAGTAGCCGCCTGCCAGCTTGGAAGCCGGCAAGTTTGGAATCAGATGCGTTTGGAGCCATTTGTTGTAGAGTGGGGTAACAAGTTTTCTGGGATTTGCCCAGCCTGATTCACCGAAAAAAATAAAAAAATCTTTGATTTCTTTGTAATTCTTCCTAGTTCCATCTACTCTGATCGACAGACAGACTAGACGCAAATTAAATGGCTTACGCTGCTGTAACTTCACTTATGGAAACACTGTCTCTACATTTCTTGCAATCACAACCACGTTTGCCTATTGAAGATTTAGAGGCACAGATGAGAATTGGCAATGAAAATCTTGGCTTGTTGCAACAAATTGTTGAGGCTCAGATGAGAGAGATGGAGTTGGACGAAGAAGCGTCACCAAAGAGTCTTCGTATAAAGCTGCAGCAGCAGCAGCTTGCAGAGAGTTCATCATCACAAAATGAAAGAATCATTAATGCTTGGGATAGTATACTATTGACTTCTCGGCTCAGGGAGATCGAGGTGGGTGAAGTCAAACAAAAGATAGTTTCTCTCCATCAAAATCTGGGCTTGCTGCAACAAAGTCTTGAGAAATCTGAGATCCCCTATCATGATGCGGGGAAGATAAAAGATTTAGAGGCAGAGATCAGAGATGGTAAGATATATTAAATATAATATATTTAATATAATATATATTAAATATAATATAATATATCTATAATATATATTAAATATAATATATCTATATATTATATTTATATATATTGAGAAGAGAGATAGAGGAATAGATAATTTTATTGATGATTTAAAATGCTTGAATAACAAAGCTATTTATACTAGATAAGATAATTCAAATGCTAAAATTAAGGAGTTAATGCTCCATGTAAAGCTAACATCATGGTCATGTACTGCACCTATAATTAATCCCATTATTTTTAACCAATTAACTAACTACTTGGTTTAATATTACTAATAATAATAATAATAATAATATTATTATTATTATTATTATTATAACATTGCCTCCTTTAAACCAAGTTGAATATATTGGTCATCCCAATATCCTTCTTCAATTTAAGAAATGTCTCTGTCTTCAACGGCTTCGTAAAAATATCTGCAACTTGACATTCACTCGAACAATACTCAATGTTGATTTGTTTTTCAGCAACCAGTTCTCTGATTTTGTGATACTTGATATCAATGTGTTTACTGCGACCATGAAAGACATGATTCTTGGACAACGAAATTGCTGACTTGTTGTCACAAAAAATAGTTGTTGGTGCTTCCTGCTTGTGTTGTAAGAACTCCAAAATTCTCCTCAACCAAACTGCTTGAGTAGCACAGTTTGCTGCTGCAATATATTCTGCTTCTGCGGTTGAAAGTGCTACAATCTGCTGCTTCTTTGAAGACCAAGAAAATATGGCTGAACCAAGATAGAAGGCATATCCTGATGTGCTTTTTCTGGTCTCAATATCTCCAGCTCAATCACTGTCTGTATACCCAACAAGTTCCACTACTTCATTAGTAGAGTAAAAAATTCCATCATTACTCGTACCTTTGACATATCTCAGAATTCGCTTTGCTGCAGCCCAATGTGATTCTTTTGGTTCCTCCATGAATCTGCTAAGTATCCCAACTCCAAAAGAAATATCTGGCCTTGTTGCCACCAGATACCTCAGACTTCCAACTAAACTTTTATAAGCTGTAACATTCACATTCTTACCACACTCATCTTTGGACACCTTTAACTTTTCAGCTAACGGAGTCGAAACTGGTTTGGAGTTTTCCATTTTGAACTTTTTCAAAATATCAGCAGCATACTTCTTCTGTGAAATAAAGATTCCACCATCCATCTGAACAACCTCAAGGCCAAGAAAGTAAGCCATAAGGCCCATATCAGTCATTTCAAACCTCTTAATGAGTGCCTCCCTGAATTCTGAGATTAACTTCAAGTTATTTCCAGTAAAGACCAAATCATCAACATATAGACATATTATAACAATATCACCAGAATCCGTGCATTTGACATACAAAGTGTGCTCATGAGGACATCTCATAAACCCACTTTCAACAAAATATGAGTCAATGCAACCATACCACGCCCTAGGCGCTTGCTTTAAGCCATATAAGGCTTTTCTCAACCTGTACACTTTATGTTCCTCCCCTTTCTTCAGAAATCCTGTAGGTTGCTCAACATATATTTCTTCTTCAAGAAAACCATTCAAAAAAGCAGACTTGACATCCATTTGATGCAATTTCCAATCATTTTGAGCAGCAAGAGAAATAAGCATACGAACTGTATCAAGTCTACTTACAGGAGCAAAAACCTCAAAATAATCAATACCTGGTTTCTGCTTGTAACCCTTTGCTACTAACCGTGCCTTAAAACGGTTAATTTCTCCATTTGACTTGTACTTCGTTCTGTAAACCCACTTCACTCCAATTGGCTTCTTTCCAGGAGGTAAATCTGTTAACTCCCAGGTACCATTCTTTTCAATGGCACGTATCTCCTCATCCATCACATTAAGCCAATGAGTTTCTGTAGCAGCCTCTTCAAAAGTTAAAGGATCACAATCTGCAAAGAGAGCAAATTGAACAATCTCTTCATCAGACAGGTCATTATCATGACCCAAAACATAATCTTGCAAGCGAGCTGGTAAGTGGCGCTCGCGCTGAGATCGTCGAACTGACGACTCTGGCTGTGTAGGAGACTGGACATTATCTGAAATCGGTTGCTCTTCAACAATATTTTCAACAACAGGAATAACAACTGAACTTACATCTTTAGCTAACCAATCCCAGGCACCATATTCATCAAAAGTGACATCACGACTTATAACAACCTTTTTAGTTTCAGGATTGTATAGCTTATAAGCCTTTGAAGCGTCACTATAACCAATGAATATGCACTTCTCACCTTTATCATCCAACTTCTTTCTCAATGGATCTGGCACATGTGCATATGCCAAACATCCAAAAACCTTGAGATATTTGATAGAGGGTTTTCTCCCACTCCAAGCTTCTTCGGGCGTCTTATCACGGACACTTTTAGTTGGACACCTATTCAACACATAGACAGCACAAGCAACAGCTTCTGCCCAAAAAGGCTTAGGCAGATTCTTAGATTTCAACATGCACCTCACCATATCCATGATAGACCTATTCTTCCTCTCAGCCACTCCATTTTGTTGTGGAGTGTATCTAGCTGTCATTTGGTGCTGAATACCCTTTTCTTTCAGAAAATCATCACAGGCAATATATTCTGTACCTCTATCAGTTCTCAAGATTTTAATTTCATAACCACTTTGCTTCTCAACAAAAGCCTTAAATTGTTTGAAAACATCACATGCTTCAGACTTTTGCTTCAGAAAGTAAACCCATGTTTTTCTACTGAAATCATCAATGAAAGTAATAAAGTACTTATAACCTCCATGTGAGGGAACCTCCAACGAACACAGGTCTGAGTGAACAATCTCCAACTGTTTTGTAGCTCTCCTTGACTTGCCCACAGGAAAGGGATCTCTATGCTTCTTCCCAATCACACAAATCTCACATATACGATCAGGGACATTCACAACAGGTAAATCAGAAACAAGTTCCTTTCTCGCAAGATAGTGTAATCCAGAGAAATGGAAATGCCCAAATCGCATATGCCATAACCAGTTTTCATCACAAACTTCAGAATTAAAGCAAGCAAGAAGTGTATGCTTATGCTTCTAAAAAAAAAAAAGAAGTGTATGCTTAAATTTCAAAGGAAATAGTCGATTCTGAGACATATTTACCTTTGCAATCAAAACTCATTTAGCATCTGCAATGGTACAACACCCCTGAGCAATATGTATCTTATATCCTTTTTCTGACAATTGACCCATACTCAACAAATTTTGGTGTAGTTCAGGAACATAGAACACATCGGATATAAAATTGCGAGTACCATCCTTCAACTGAATAGAGATTTTACCTTTTCCCAAAATTGGCACTTTTGACTTATTGCCAAATGTCACTTCAGACCGGACTGATTCATCCAGTTCAGAAAACAATTCTTTCTTCCCACACATATGGTTACTACACCAGTATCCAAGAACCATATGTTTTTATCTACAGAAAAACTATCGCTGGCTAAAAGTAAAGTTTCAGAACTCTCACCAGACTTTTCAGCAGTGTTTTCAGCAATGTTTGCTTGATTTCCACGATTGTTGTCCTCATTATACCAACAATCTGCAATCTTGTGCCCATACTTGCCACAATTGTAGCAATGAAATGGAAATTTACCTTGTTTGGTATTACCTCCACCTCTTCCTTGGTTGGAGTTACCACGTCCTCCTCCTTGGTTGAAGTTACCACGACCTCTTCCACTAGAACCTCCTCTTCCTCTTCCACGACCTCTACCAGATCTTCCACCTCTTTGATTAGTGCCAGCCACATTAAGGGTGACTTGACTCTTCAAAGCTTCTTCTGCTAGTGGTTCTGATTTTGACGCAATTCTGTCAATATGACTTTCTACCATATCTTTCAGCTCTGCAATTGACAAGAGCTCGGTTTTGTGTGACTCTGTGATCGAAGCCACCACATGGTCATACTTCATCGGCATAGTTCGAAGAACTTTCTCAACCACTACACCATCTTCAATTGTATCTCCGTATAACCTCATCTTATTCACCATATCAATAAGACGAGTGAAATACGCATCTACTGTTTCTGTAGAGGTCATCTCACAATTATCGTACAACCTTCTCAACGACTGCAACTTAGACTTCTGCGCCCTATCAACTCCTTTGTGTGAAACCTTTAAGATGTCCCAAGCTTGTTTTGCTGTTTGAGCACGAGCTAATTGCCCAAAAATGGAATAATGAACACCTTGGTGAATCTGACCTAAGGCCAATTTATCTCGCCGTATAGCACCTGCTTCAGCTCCTTCTTGTAGACTGGGATCAACAAAGCTCCAAAGATTTTGAGCTTGCAAATGTGTGGACATCATAATTTGCCAATAATTGTAATCGAGTTTCCCATCCAATTTGGGACCCGTCCATACAATATTGAAATTTGCAGCCATATTTCACTACGGAAAATATCTCGGGGTTGAAAGGTTGACTGGCTCTGATACCAAATGTAAGATATATTAATTATATTATATTTAATATATATTATATTAAATATATTATATTTAATATATCTTATAGAGATGCATCGTTCAAAGTGGAAGAAAGGATTGAGATGGAGTTGACTGCCATTTATTTAGCAAATGATAGTCTTCATGTAACAGCTTCCCTGCTCAGGCTTCATCCAATCTTCAATGAAGCAGAAAAGCAGACTGATTACCAGAGGAATGAGTTGATTAGGATTCAAACTGAATACCAGCAGCTTGCAAAGGCAGCTTCATCACGAAACCAAACACTCACTGATGTTTCACTGCTTGAGAATGGAGGAGGATTATCACAGCCTGATCTAGCACACAAGAACATTATTGTGAGTAAATTTTTCAAAAACACTTCAAAGTTGGATATTAGAATGGTGGGATGCCAGGAGGAGTTCAAGACGATATTTGGTCGGATCCGACGAAGAGGCCATGGACTACTACAGCTTGTCAAAGGATCATCACTTCATGATCTAGTACACAAGAAAAATATTGTGAGTTACTTCTCCAAAAAGCCTTCAAAGTTTGATTCTGGAATGGTCGGATGCGAGAAGCTGTTCGAGAAGATATTGGATCAGCTGCTCACGCAACAAACAACTAAGGGGAGACAAGTTGTTTCAATTGTTGGCATGGGAGGAATAGGCAAGACCACTTTAGCACACAAACTTTATGAACATCCATCAATTACTTCTTATTTTGACATGCGAGCATGGGTTACTGTAACCCAAGAGTATAACATAGAACAAATGCTCCAATGTCTTCTTAGTTGTGTTACTGCAGCATCAAGATATGGTGGCAAAGACTAGTTAGCTGAACGCCTGCATAAATACTTGAAGGAACAGAGATATTTGATAGTGATTGATGATATATGGAACACTACTGCTTGGGATAGTGTGCAAAGATGCTTTCCAGATGATAATAATGGAAGTCGTATACTATTGACTTCTCGACTCAGAGAGGTGACAGAATATGCTAGCTCAAGTAACTCTCCTCTTAATATGTCTTTCTTAGATGCCGATGAAAGTTGGAATCTCTACTGCAAAGTCTTTGGTAAAACTGAATTCCTTCTAGTGTTTGACCAAATTGGTAGAGACATAGTGAAGAAATGTAAAGGATTACCTCTAGCTATTACTATAGTAGCTAGTCTTCTCTCCAAGATAGAAGAGGAGGAGGAAAAGTGGAAGAATGTTGCAAAAAGTGTAATGGGTGATTCTAGTGATGCATGTTCCAGAATACTATATTTGAGTTACAATCAATTACCACACCACTTAAAAGCATGTTTTCTATATTTTGGAATTTTTAAAGAAGACTATGAGATCTCTGTGAAGAAGTTGGTTAGGTTGTGGGCGGCAGAGGGATTTTTGAGCATGGTGAAGAATGTGAATTTGGAGAAAGTGGCCATGGAATGCTTGCAAGATCTTGTCGATAGAAGTCTTGTTATAGTTAGCAAACAGAGCTACAATGGGGAAATGAAGAGAATAAGGATCCATGATATGTTGCGAGATTTGTGTTTGAGAGAAGCTAGACTTGAAAATCTCTTGAATGTCAATGGAGTTAAAAAACCTTGTCGTTGGATAAATCATGCATCTGTATCTTACTATTGTAAAAGATTCAGGTTTGTAGACGAGCCCTTTCACAAATCTCATTCCTTTCACTTAAATCATCATTTTTACGGTTTTAAGAATGCAGATATGAAATGTCTATTTTCAGACTTGAAACTACTAAGAGTGCTAAACATGAGAAAAAGATTTTGGGAGGGAGTTATAAACCTAAAGGTGCTTGAAAATCTTGTTCATTTGAGATACTTAGCTTTGTATGCAAATGGCTATTGTTCTGTAAACCCTAACCACTTTGGGCATTGGAATAATATGCAAACTTTTATTGTTATTGGGGATGATGTTCAGATGTTTTCCTTTAAGCCAACTGGATTTTGGAAGATGCCACTATTAAGGAATGTTTGCATTGAAAGAATTCAGTCATTAGAAACTCCATCGGTTGTTTATAGAAACTTAGAGAATATATCTTGGTTGGATTCTAAGTTATGTACAAAGGATTTGTTTACAATGATTCCGAATTTAAAAACATTGGGAGTTAATGGTAGATACTATGATAATAATCAAGATTGGTTTTATAATTTTGTGCACTTGGAGCAGCTTGAGAAACTAAGCATCAGAACGTGGATGGATCTCAACCTTGTTATGTGTAGCTTCCCATGGGCAACTAGTTTACCAAATCTTAAGAAGCTCAGCTTGTTGAAGTCTAATATGCAGTGGAGTGAGCTGAGCGCTATTAGTGTGTTACCTAATCTGGAGGTTCTAAAATTGATACATGCTTGTGAAGGCCTAGAGTGGGAGACATCTGATGGAGGGTTCCATCGATTGAAGAGGTTGGTAATTAAAAGCAGAAGTCTCCAATATTGGAATACTGTGGGTGACCATTTCCCTATACTTCATTGTTTAGAGATAAGTGAGTGCTATGGGTTGAAAGAAATCCCTAGTGGTTTTGCCGATGTCATTACACTAGCATTGATTCAGTTAAGCAAATGTAGTAATTCCCTTGTGGCTTCTGCAAAGTGGATTCAAGAAGAGCAATACAACAACTATGGAAATGCCGTCCTCATACGTTCTGAAAATATTAAGGTCTCTTTCTATCCCTCTGATATATCTCTCACCATTTAACATGCACTTCATACAACTTGAATTTTTTATGGCTGATGTTTGCAATGGATAATCATCTGATCTGTTTTCTCTCACTTCTATCTCTTTTTTATTTCCTTACCTATCTAACTGTTGTGTGTTGGCCTTTTCTTTTTACTGAATTTATTGTTTCCAGAGTTATTGGTGTGAGTGGTCTGAGGAGGAAGAGAGTGATAACGAAGGGCAGTATCTAGCTAGGTATGTTGTATGAGCACATATAACTACTGTTTATTTTGGTGTATGTTTTTTTGTCTCAAATTAAAGAAAAATGGATGAATTAAGGTTATTGCTTTCCTTTTTGGAAATATATATAGGAAGGCCTGGTGAAATTGTTGGAAGAAATGATAAATTCTGAATGTGCATAGCGATGAGCTGAAATGGTCTCTGCGGGCAATTCGTTCTCAGAAATCTGATGGATGCATGGTAATGCCATTGCATGGGAAAAATTTTTTTATTTATTCATTTAAAGTCTCAGAAATCTGTTTTGTTATTAAGTTTGTTTGTAGAGATTTTGGTGGTGGGGAATTAGTTTGTAGATAGGGGAAATCGCACTTTTGGTCCCTCAATTAGTGCCCCATATGCAATGTGATCCTCACTTCTTAATTTGGACAGAATTGATCCTTCAATTATTTCACCATTAGTCAATTTAGTCCTTCTGTGAACCGTGTTAAACGGATTAACTAATAGAAGGATTAAACTGACTAACGGTGGAATAATTGAGGGACCAATTCTGTTCTCCAAATTGAGAAGTGAGGATCACATTGCATATGGGGCACTAATTGCATTAAGTAGCACACATTGATAGCAATTTCAAGGAAAAAATGAATTGTCATCATGTTAATCGTTTAGTGAAAAGCTTTTTGACAACTGTAATTAATGAATATAAAATAAGAAAACTACATAATGCAACTATCAGGCTTCATACATCTCAAATACATGCTGACCATAAAAAATTAGCTAACAACATCAACGATATGAGGCAAATCAAAACATCAAGAAGCAGTGTATTGACAACAAAGGTACAATTAGAAGTATTACTTGATGTATGCATGTTACATTAACAGTCTTTACATTTCTTTAACTACCTTCTGATGTTTAGCCTTCATCTTCTGAATCAATTATTTTTGAAATTGCATTAAGCTGCAAGAATTAGTAGTTGTTAAATTAGTTAGTATCAGTTTACAACTTAGGATAGGATACATGAACTACAGAATTCATGCTCAATAAACAGGAATTTATATTCCCAGTTTCTAATAAAGAACTATAATTAAACATACATGATTCACAGAACATTGAACCAAATCACCAAAATATAGCATAAAGGTCTAGAGTTTAAATAAACAGCTTTTGAACCAAATCACCCTATTTGATGTACATAGGAAAACACTAATCTAATCTTGAACTAACATGAACAACAAAATAGGCAAGAAAATCGAAATAATTAGTCGAAAAATTCAGTATAAAATAGATAGACCAGGATAACTTATCTCATAGGTTTTCTGAAATTAGGGTTTGAAATCAACCTCGCGATTTTATAGTACAAGTGAAAGACTGATGTAGAGAACGATTATTGGCATATGAGTTGCTCGACAAACACATTTACAGCCTTCTACAACCAAAAATTGGTCGTAGAGCTGAGATTATAGGTTGGATTGGAGACATTCGGACCAAGAGACAGAGAACGGGAGAATGTTCGAGAGAGAGGAGAGAGAGGATAAAGAAGGCGAAGCGTTCTCTCTAGGTCAGAAATGAAGCCAAAATCCACGCAATTCTTGAAAGTGTGAAGTGTTGGACCGATATCGAATGATAATTTTGCTTTGTTTAAGACTTGATTTGATTGATGTGTCTTGTGACTGAATGACTCTGTCGATATAATCCAATGATGTCTCCAAATCTGACTGTGATGACTCCAAGTACTTTTTTAACTTGGCATGCTGACTCTCAACTCTGTTCGTGGTGTGATTTTCAAAATTGAGATATCGATCAGTCCAAATAGATACAAATATTTCTTTATACGGTTGCAGCCAATTATCATCAATATAACCAAAAACACCTGAAAATAGGAATAATTGCATTAGTTGAACAAATATGCCTTATTAAAAAAAATATTGAATATACATTGAATAATACCTGGAAAGTCAACCAAAACTGCTTTTAGTTGAGCTAAACGAGACATATATGCTTCATGAGACTGAGACTCAACTAATGCGTTCCATGATTGGTAGAATAAATCCCAATGATGGTTGGATGGTATCGATGGCCTGCAGTTTCTCAAAATACTTCTATAGATATGTCATCTACAAAGTAATCCTTTAGCATCTGGATACACATTTTTACATGCTTTTATCAATGTCAACTCTCGATCCGTGACGATAACACGCGGGGTAATGCATCCCTCAATTGTGGCTTTGAGACAATTTAATGCCCAAGTATAAGTGGACTCATTCTCTTTGTGCATGAAGGCGAACGCTACGCAAAATGTCATGTTGGTCGAAGTTACACCAACCATTTCGACGAGGGGCATCGAGTACCTATTTGTTTTATACGTCGCATCTATCAATAACACATGTGGAAATGAACGCCACTTCTCCAAAGATTTAGGATGAACAAAGAACAAATCTTCTAACTCATTTGTTGCAATATTAGTTCGACTCTCATGCACATAACCATTGTTATGTAAAAAAGACATAACAACTTGCATTTGAGTTTTACCTGCTTTCTCCATCATCCGAAATTTTTGGCGTGCATTGTATATGGTTTTTGTGATGGAAACATTTTCTGGATTTTTCCTCTTCACAGACGTTAAAATGTCTCGTGGTTTCACATGCATCGCTGACAAATTTTCCACCAATTCGACTTCATTTCCTGATAATCGCCTTGCTAAGGGTGACCTTCAAGGTGCAGCGCAGGATCATGATTATGTACTCCACATATTACCCTTACCCTCCGTCAACCATCAACAAGTATGTATTTCCCCTCCAATTGGAATGGACAATCAATTTTTCTTGTACCCGTGTTTTTTGATGAGATTTTTTTTGGCACGTAAGCACCACCACGGTCACACTGAAATATAACTGTAGGACTCTTATTCTTATTCTGGGACCTTTTAATCACAATAACATATCCGAGATCCCGACCTCTACTTTGAACCCATTCAATTAAATCTTCGCGAGACATGAATGCCTAATAAAAAAAATTATTTGTATCAATAATAAAAATATGACTATACCTAGTATTATATATGACAATACCTTTTTTTTTTTTTTTGCCTTGTTTTGTTCTAAATAATAATAATAATAATAATAATAATAATAATAATAATAATAATAATAATAATAATAATAATAATAATAATAATAATAATAATAATAATATGGCGTGAATGACTACATGCATGTATACCAACATATTTAAAAAAAAAAAAAAACACAGAAATTAAGTATACGTTGTTGCTTACAAGTTAATAATAATATTAAAACAAAAGAATATAGTAGATGTTGGGAAAAATGCAAGTCACTCATTAATTATGTGGTGGTTTAACCTTGACCAAAAATAATTATGTGGTGGTTTAACCTTTACCACAAATTAATGAGTGGTTAAGATCCTTTAAATAATATGAGGCCTAAATTACTTGGCCTCTATTATTTAAACATGACCTGCCTTTGAGTTTAAACACACCTAGGAAAATATTTCCTTTCTCTCTTCTTCCTATGTCTGCTAGTTAAAGTCTGAGCAATAGTGAGGTTCAGCTATGTTTAAGCTGGTGCGAGCTTAGCGTGGTTATTCTGTGTAGCTTGTCGAAAGCGTACCTGTTTGTCGACTGCACCGTCACCGGGCAAATAACGCTTTTAAAGTAGTGTTATTATAACACGGCACAGACTTCTTTTCAGCCATACATCCATTGTGTCCGTGTTTCTTAAAAGGTGCGCAGCTCGCACGTTGACGTTGCGAATATTTTCCAACAGTTAAAAGCATTAATTAGTTACAGCAACAGTCAACTACTCGAATCATGAAGTAGATTATAATAATTTTTGGCGACATGATGGTGTAGCAACAACAGAGATTAGCAGTGGAAGGCAGCAGCTTCATACAGAACAATACTGGTGAAGCACACTACTTCGGCTTATGTGTAACCTTTAAGCAAGGGAGTACAACAGAAATAATTATTGGGTTCATATCCGAGCTTTGACCATACTCCGATGAGGTTTGTTTCCTCATATTTTAATATGACACATGCATATTTATATGATAATAGACTATCATATGCAAATGATTATTTTTTAGCACAAGTAATCATATATTATTGGGCATTGACCATATTCCCTTAAAGCTATTATAATGGCATAATTTAGAAGATGGTTTGCATATATCTTTGCATCCATTTGATTATTATGTTTTGAAAGCATTTAAAACGTGAAATATATGTTGTGACAAACATTTTAGAAATCGCCATTTCATATTTTATATGGTGAGTGCTTTGAATATTATAGAGAAAATTAACAACAGTGTACACAAGGATAAGTGAATTGTTATTATTCACGTGGATGAGCTTTATGATTTTGTTATGTTAGAAGTGTTGGTTTAACACTAAAACTAAGTGATTAAATCATCATTTTGATTTAAAGCTTATAAATTGGGTACTTATGCACATGTCAAATTTATAACATTATGTGTTATATTGTGGATATGTTACAAACATTGCACTATTTGATGAGATACATATATGCTTTCAGTCACTTAATCTTAAATATCTGAATTGTGTACCGAGACTAAATTCCAAGGCTTTACTCACACTGTGGTGGTAGCATGGAAAAGTCATCCTTCTTGAATACTCTGTCTAGGATGATGGTTTTTAAGTAAACTTTGGTTTCACCACTCGACCTGGGAGTTTTAAGAAGTAGGGTGTTGATCATGCAGACTAGTTAGAGCGCCACTTGATCTTCACCTGAAATTAGATTGACTTTCATATGTTGTTAAACAATCAAAGCCTTGCAATAGAAATGGTTGAATTACTGCAATAGTAATATTGATCTGCATCATATGAATGCTTTATATGAATTTTTAATTTCTTCAAGTGAAAGAAAAATTGTGCAAGTGACAACTCTGAAGTCTCATTGTTGAGAGATATTTCCTAATAGATATGAGCTAGAACATATTCCTGGTGTATGAAATTAATTTCTTATAAGAATATGATGTGAAATTTGTGAGTAGGTTGTTCAACTTGATGTAGCATGTGAACAACATTATTTCTATGGCTTACTAACAATGAGCATTTGTATATATATTATTTAAATTTGGTTGAGTCATATTAAAATACCTATAATTCATAGTTAAAGGGTAATCATGATGAGTTGAGATAACCAAGTTTGTTGAATTATATTCAACTGTTGAGTATGTATCAGGTAAAGTACAGAGCTACTATAATGCTCCACAGAGGAAATTAGCAAAACTCAGTCTACAAAGGGGCTAATATTAGAGCACCAAAGATTAATCTGGGTAAGAGATCAAATACATTTGACAAAAATATTTGTAAGTGTTGCATTGTGGGGGGTAATTAACTCCTTATATTTTCATCAAAAGTTTCTCTGTGGTATTGAGAATAATGATGAAAGAGAATGTTTCATGTTAAGCATGAAAATCTCAAGGGATTATTTACGAGTAAACGAAATAATTGTCAAAGTGCATGTAAGTTTGATCAAGAAAATCAACTTACTTGAGGGCTAATTATGAGGATTAGTCAATTAATCATTGAAAGGACTTAAAGTCCAAGTGGTAATGAATTCGTGGTGGGTCCCACTTCTGTGGTCAAACGAAGCCATGAAAAGAGTTACAAAATAGTACACTAGTTAGTCATTCCTACGATATGTGTACTTGTGAGGTTGAGCCACAGCTCTTAATAAATTCATAACTCTTTGAGAAGGGTGGTTATGTTGAGACAAAGCTGATGAATTCACCGCATAATGACATGAGTACAAAGTGCTCTTGGTGACTTATACTCAATTGGGATGGTCTATATTGAGGTAGACCTAAAGAGATCCCTGGCTTGAGTGGAAAAGGGCTAACCGCCTCTTATGAAAGATAATGGGGTTATCCCAAGAAGCTGAGTGGCTAAGAAACATGGTGATAACCGTGCAGTTGTGGGGGTGTCCAACA